AAATGTTGCTCATGAGTTTGAACCTTGTTTACTGTATTCTTCGAGCCACGGTAGAATAATGGACAGAGCCTCGGATGGACGAAACGAAAATCCAGGTTCAAGCTCCCGTCGATTTTGTTATATTCACTTTAGGAAAGGCATGAATCCACCTCTTTTATTCCTGGGTATGGATTAATTACTAGGACTTCATCATTATTATCTCCAAAAAATTCTTACAATCTAAAAAGATTTTATAGCATTAAATGCCCTGAAATAGGTTGATAAACTATAAAAAAAACATATCAAATCACTTTGATTTCAATTGTAGATTTCTTCATCTCAAAATTCCCTGATCTTAAAAACGAGATTACCCAACTGGGTTGGATCAAAAGGGTGTAGCTTTTTTGTCAATAGGTGGCATTTGAACACGTGATTTCGTTTTACACGTGACGGAAATTTATGACATATATACATATTCTGAAAGGTGACATTTCAATATGCTTTTCTACAATGTGTGTGGCTTCCCCCCAGCTATGGATAAATAGCAGAATAGACTAATTCCTATAACCTTGGGATGTAACTCGTCTAGAAGAAGGAAAACTCTAAATTCAAAATCAGCATTGAGGTTATTTTGCCCAAGACACACCACCGCTGCTATGGATTCAGTACATGTGGTGCCCCTTAGAACCTAATGGGTTACGGAACACTTGGTAACCATAATAGTTACTTTTTGTCTATAGTCATGCGCTATGAAGCAACACTTATAAGCACATTACTGTTTATAACTGAGGATGAGGCCCACAGAAGCAACCTTTTTACGTCTCCTCTGCCTTTACGGAGAACAAAACCGCTGATGTCCCCTTGTGAATCACATTATCACGCACAATAAGGATACTTTTGCTGTAGTTACGTTGAAATATCCACATGCCACTCAGTCAACATTAAAGATTCCAAGCCTCAGATCTATTTCAGAGGTTTTGAATAAGGTGTAATTAAAAGTATTTCTTTTGAATTCGCCGTTTCACCGCGTTCAATGGACATTGAAAATCTCACTCGTCTTCTGTAAGGCAATCGTTTTCCATGTTTCCCTTTTCGTGAACGACTTTCTAGCAAGACTTTCATGTTTTATGCACGCTAGATAAAAACCCCAAAAAAGAAAAAAAAAATGCCTTCTTTAAGTGCGAGGAGGTAGCCAAAGAAAAAATCCAGAGAGAAGCCGAAAGAACTGCTTCGATTTGTTTTGAAAGTTTCAACAGATCCACTCAGAAATCCAAGACTTCATTTATCAGTACAGTTCAACCTCGGTTCGGTTTCTATTGGAAACATAGTTTCAGTTTACGAACATTTCGGCTTACGAACGGCCTTCAGGAACGAATTAAATTCGTTAAGCGAGGTTCCATAGTATTTACTTTATTTCCAGTTAGACTAATATTCCCATGTTTGTTGTTACTATCAAAACGTTTCGTCCATTGTCCGCTCTGGTCTTCTACAGGTTTACCCGGGTAACCATTGAACAATTTCGAACTGAGTCCCACTGGCATAGACTGTTCTTATTCTGTTGTTCATGTTTAGGGGTATTTTTGTTTGTTCTTATTTTGTCCATTATTATTCGCTCCATGTTAGTGGTTCTCAATCTATTTTTTTACCCAGAGGCCACTTTTACTCGTAATTTTTTTTGGTGGGCCTCCATAATCATTTGATGAAAAAAAAAACTTATTTTATTTTTTTACTAATAGATAAGTTTAGGAATTGTATTCTAAAAATAGTAAATAAATATGCTTTATTCTGAAGTAAAACTAATTTATGGAAGTAATTAATAAATTTTTAAAAAAGTGCTGATTTATTTAATGAGATTTCTGTAGTTGAAGCTACTGAAGAAGTAAATTAATTTTATTATTAATATTTTTAAAAATATTTTATATTAATTTATATTAATTAAAATTAATATTATTTATATAATAAATCATAATCTTTAGATAATTTTCCTTTACTTATATATCTATCTTTGCTTTATATATCCTTCTCAGTTTTTATTTAACTTTTACAATCAAAACATCCGGTAGAATAAAAGGGATGCTGACTTACATCACTTGATAAGTAAATGAATATAGTAAATGAATATGCTTTATTTTGAAGTAAAACAAATTTAATGAAAATAAACTTGTATTTAACAACGAAATTCTATGGAACAATTATGTACACTAGTAAAATAACCAATTATAAACGATTTTAAAATATGTGAATATTTAATAAATTTAAAAAAGTGCAGATTTATTCAATGAGATCCCTGTGGATGCTGTTGCTGAAGAGATTAATATCGTTAATCCTTCCTTTATAGTTAATCCTTATACAATTTATATATTAAATTAATTCTATTATTAACATTTTATTTTTTAATATTTTATATTAATTTATATTAATATTTTATTTTATTAATATTTACAATTAATATTATTTATATAATAAATTATAATCTTTAGATAATTTTCCTTTAAATATAAAAAAAAGCATATTTATTCAATGAGATCCCAGTGGCTGATGCAGCTCTTTGATTTTTTATTCACCTCCATCGATGTTACTGATAGTCAAAGATCACCCCTTTTCACAATATTCAGTCTATTATTATATTAATTAATTTATATTAATATTTTATTTTATCTTAGTATTTAAAATAAATAGTATTATTTATTATTAACATATTAAATTAATTTATATAATAAAAGGTACGCTAATTTACATCTTTTGATCTCGTTTTCTGTGAGTTTTAGAGTTGATTTTTTTTTTCTGAGTATTTTAATATGGCGTAGATTATTGTTGAAATTCCAAATCTCACTTGTAACAAGCATTCCGAAGGGAAATTGCTCGGTGGACCACTAAAATATTACCGTGGACACCCAATTTAGTATTGTTTTGTGTGGATGTAATGTTTCATAGACCTCCCACCTTCGTACGTATGGATTCGGATTGAGAACCACTGCTCTATTTTCTCGGTGTGAGTCTGTATAACCAGGACCAGGGTTTGAACTTACACTTACAAAACCACCAAATTCATGACCCTGAGCAGTACTAACTAAACTTCAAAATAAAAAAAAAATAAATAAAAAATAAAACTAGATATCATACCCACCCCAAAATAACAACTGCGGAAAAAGAAAAATCTACACCAGGTAAGGTTTAATTCAGAATATTTTGAAGGTTGCCCGGATACCGACAGACCCAGTGAAAACGCCTGACGATGACAATAACCAAAACAGGATATTAACAATAAAGACAAGGATAATAATGTAAATACCATGTTCTCATGTGAGACAGAAATTCGATGTAAATATCAGACACAAAGACAGGGCCCAGTTTAGCAGTATGTTTCATTTCAAATTTGGATACTAGATATCCATATCGGGTACAAAGACAGGGCTCAATTTAGCAGTAAGTTTAATTTCCAAATTGAACACACGATGTCCATGTCGGGCACAAAGACAGGGCTCAATTTAGCAGTATGTTTCATTTCCAAATTGGACACTCGATGTCCATATCGGGCACAAAGACAGGGCTCAATTTAGCAGTAAGTTTCATTTCCAAATTGAATACTCGATGTCCATATCGGGCACAAAGACAGGGCTCAATTTAGCAGTAAGTTTCATTTCCAAATTGAATACTCGATGTCCATGTCGGGCACAAAGACAGGGCTCAATTTAGCAGTATGTTTCATTTCCAAATTGAATACTCGATGTCCATGTCGGGCACAAAGACAGGGCTCAATTTAGCAGTATGTTTCATTTCCAAATTGGACGCTCGATGTCCATGTCTGGCACAAAGACAGGGCTCAATTTAGCAGTAAGTTTCATTTCCAAATTGAACACTCGATGTCCATATCGGGCTCAAAGACAGGGCTCAATTTAGCAGTAAGTTTAATTTCCAAATTGAATACTCGATGTCCATGTCGGGCACAAAGACAGGGCTCAATTTAGCAGTATGTTTCATTTCCAAATTGGACGCTCGATGTCCATGTCGGGCACAAAGACAGGGCTCAATTTAGCAGTAAGTTTAATTTCCAAATTGAATATCCGTTGTCCAAGTCGAGCACAAAAACAGGGTCCAATTTAGCCATATGTTGACGTTGCAAATTGAATACACAGTGTTCATGCCGGGCACAATGAATGTTCCAGTTTAGTAATATGCTTACTTTTCAAATTGAACATTCGGTGTACATTTCGACCAGAAACACAGGGTCCAGTTTAGCTGTATGTTTACGTTGCAAATTAAACACTCAGTATCCATTTCAGGCACAAAGTCAGGGTCCAGTTTAGCAGTATGTTTACTTTCCAAATTGAACACTCGATAGCCATAACGGGCATAAACAGGATCAAGTTTATGAGTATATTTATTTACAAATTGAACACTCGATGTCTATATAGGCTACAAAGTCAGGGTCTAGTTTAGTAGTATTTTTATTTCGCAAATTGGACACACGATGTCCATATCGGGCAGAAAGTCGGAGTCCAGCTTAGCCGTATGTTTACTTTCCACATTGCACGCACGATGTCCTTATCGGGCATAAAGTCGAGGTCCAGTATAGGAGTATATTTACATTGCAAAATGAACAATCTATGTCCACCATATAGCGGTAAAAAGCACCAGCAACAAGTGAGCCATAATACAGAAAGGACAAGATCTCATATCCCCAAGATATAACGAAACGTAGTTAAGCAGTGGTTCACTTCTAAATTTCTTGAAGGTTATCCGGTACACAAAATATCTAAAGAAGGCCGTAGATCACAGTGGCCAAATATTGTGATAACACCAATAAAGATGAGGACATTAGTGTGAATATAAATAATGGTTACCATTTATTCTAGAAAATCAGAAAGAAACCGTTTTCTTTCGCTGCTGTACAGATGTAATCAGACAGCTTTAGTAGAAGTGAAATTTATTGTTAATCGATGCATATAAAACATTTGGCGCTGAACAAAGTCAACAACAAAAGGGTCGATTGCAATAGGAACGACTTCTGCATTTTATAAATGCTCCGACCCGGGTATTTATTGCTTGATTTATTGCGTAATAATGTCACTGCTACGAGATTGGCAGATATTTATTTCGTCGACAAAGAAGGTAATCAAACAACCCCCCTATAAAGAAATGAGTAAACCAAGCCGAAAACAAGAAACATACACAACTTGCCAATAAAACGAATTATCATTTTGACTGGGTGCTTATTTCTTTACTTGCAATTCGTTGATTTGATTTGGGTCACGAGTTGAACGCCAATTAAGAATATTTGCCGACATTCCTATGGCGAGAAGTCCCCTTCTAATTTACTCGTAGAATTTCAATTCTGGTTGTTGGTGTGATTATGCAGGGTGTCCATAAATCATCTGTAAAATTTTAAAAATTCATAAAAAATGAAAAAAAAAAATGAAGATAACTCTCACAGGGTTTATTGAAAAAAAGGTAAGTTAATAACGATTTATTTCAATATATTAGAATAATTATTAACAGTCTCCATTAGTTGCTTACAACATATCGAAACGATAATCAATTTCTGTTTTCTGCAAGACACTTGGTCCGATTTTACCCCAAGCAAGACAATAGACGAAATAAAGGATTCGGTTCGAAATTCCTGTCGCCTGAAGAAGGCCGGGGCGTACAACGATCATGCCACTGAAGATGAGGATAACAGTCCGAATAATGTAAATAATGTAAGTAATCATAATACCTCATCTCAGAGATATAGACAGACAGGAATTATGAGTACTTTAAAGATTTTCGGATAACAAAACCCCCCATGTTACTAGCGCAGGGATAAAGGCAATCTTGTGAATCCCAGCTACGAATTAAATGGCAGAATATACTAAGCTATCTAGCCTTGGATGGATACCAGTCTAAGAGAAGCAAAACTGTAGATTTCAAATAGAGAAGTCAACGATAAATCACTCTAATCCCCAATTAATTGATTATTTTGTCGAAAATTTTTTGGAGATAATAATGATTTAGCGATTCAATTCCTACTAATTAATCCATAGCTGGGGAGGAAAGAGGTGATTTCTTACATTTCCAAAAGTTATTTACGTGTAAGTGAATATAACGAACCCAACTGAAATTGGAACTCAGCTCTCCAATTTCCAATTTCAAGTCGTTATCCATTACACCACCCGCACATCCAAGCCTAGAGAATTTAGTATTTCCAAGTGGTCATTCATCTAGGTAGTGACCAGGCTTGCCGTTGCTTAACTTTGCTGATTGTACGAGAACCGGTGTTTCAACGTGATTTTTTTTTCTAAGCCAACAGATAATAAAGAAAAGGAATTTGTGGAGAAAATGATTTAGAAGATGATGATGTTGGTCCTTGTTAGTATTTAAATAGCAGGCGAAGTAGAGGATATTTGGATAGTAACCAGTCTAAAGGAAAGAAAAGTTGAAATTCTAATCTGTGGAAAAGGTGTGGACTGTCTTTTTGGGCTGTCAAGCCCCATCTGACGACGCAGCTGGTTATGAGGCGCCAATTTTCCTATTCTCCGGCTTGGAGCTGACTTAGTTGTCAGAGGCTATTTGAGACACCTGTCATAGAAGCATTTTAGAGACAGTGAAAGCTTGTCAGCACGATCACCCTCGGCCATGAAAATCTTTAGAAGATAATGATATATATAAACATTTGTAGACATTAACTGTTTTAGAAGACCCTAACCGCAAATTAGATTTGCATACTATTTTCTTTCTTTTGATTCGGTTATATAAAACAAAAAGTGATATCACCTTTTTAGAATTGTCTTCCATTTCATTTCATCGTCATTTACATGCAAAATATTGTTGATCTGGTTTAAGCCGAACTAGGGGCAGTACACGCAAAATTTGACAATCCCAACATTGGTAAATATTCGATGGGTGTAAACTTGAGACTATAGACAAGCTTCAGTCGAGTTTATACTTGGGTCTATATACAAACATTGGTTGGGTTAGGGCTATAGGTAACCTAAGTATAATGTCGTCTAATGTTTACCTATAGACTCAAGTATAAACGCGGTCTGCCTATTGACACGAGTATAAGCTGACTGACACCCCAATCAGGACCATGTTCCCAGGCATGGGGATATATTTCCCCTTAGTGACTTAACTTCACAGGCACGCGCGTATGAGCGTGCATCACCCCCACAATTCCAAACTTTTACACACAACTTTCTTTTTCATGCAACATTCACTTATTCGTTTAACTCATTTTGTTTTTAGCCAAGTTGGCATATAGACTTAAGTATAAGCTTGACCAATTCTTGCCTGGATACCTAAGTATAATGTCGTCTAATGCTTGCCTATAGACTCAAGTATAAACGTGGTCTGCCTATAGACACAAGTAAAAGCTCGATCAATTCTTGCCTAGATATCCTTGTATAAAGTGAATGTGATAAGTGCGTTACCGTTGGCTCCAGTTTGCATCCTACCGAGCCAGCAGAGAAAGGCAAAAACGCGAAAGACATCTCTTGCAAAAATGGCTGCTATTTGGTTTACTCCCCTAAAAATGCCTGGCTTCCGGCCAACAGACAGACACCTGCTGAGAAACAGTGTATAGCCCAACGTGACACGGATGTCCCTTCAGATATTAACATTTTCTCATTTACTCAGAATGTGAGAATAACAACAAGCAAGGAATTGTTGGCATCGATTCGCGAGTGAGGCAGACAGAAAAAAAAGTAATGTCGGCATTCGCGCTAGAAGTTTGCGATTTTTAGCATCCGTCCGACAAAATCAAGTGAATATTATATTTATGAAATGTCGATTAAATTCTCCTCTGCTTTGGGATTAGTGAATTTTACGACATATCAACACTTGCTGAATATTTAATATCAATATTTTTTTTTATTACACTTTAGTCTCTAGGTAAACAAAGTTTTATGCTTGGGTGCCATAGGAAAAACTTAGACTTGAGCATACAATCATTGGTTAGGTGTAAACTTGAGACTATATGTAAGCATTAGACTTGTTTATACTTGAATGTACAGGAAAACATTGGTTGTGCGTAAACTTGAAAATATAGGTAAGCATTATACGATATTATACTTAGGTATCTAGGCAAGAATTGATAGAGTTTATATTTGAGTCTATAGGTAGACTTTGACCGCGTTTATACTTGAGTCTTAAGGTAAGCATTAGACGACTTTATAGTTGGTTATCTAGGCAAGAATTGATAGAGCTTATACTTGAGTCTATAGGCAGACTTTGCGTTTATACTTGAGTCTATAGGTAAGCATTAAACGACATTATACTTAGGTATCTAGGCAAGAATTGATCGAGCTTATATTTGTGTCTATAGGCAGACCGCGTTTATACTCGAGTCTATAGGTAATCATTGGTCAAATTTATACTTGAGTCAATAGGCAAGCATTGGTCGGGTAAAAACTAAGTAAGAATTGATCGGGTTTATTGTTAAGTTTATAAGCAAGTACTGGTCGTGTATATACTTAAGTTTATACGCAAGCATTGCTGGGTTTAAATTTGAGCCTCTAAGCAAATGTCGGTCGAGTGTATAATTGAATGTTTAGACAAGTATTGACTAGGTTTATACTTGAGTCTGCCAGTAAACACTGGTCGAGATTATAAACTTATTTACGTTATTTGTTTTAGTTTAGAGGCGAACATTGGTCGGGTTTATACTTGAGACTATATTTAAGCATTAGTCGGGTTTATACTTGAGGCAATAGATAGACATTTGAAATTGTGAAGAGAGTAAAATAGATAGTAGGCCGTTTAGCGCATGCATCTCTATGATACTCTGTGTGAAATTAATTTCATGTAATTACTTCTGGTATCAATGATAAACTTGCTTGTCTGTGGAGAGCCGTGATCGTTCACACCATGAAGAGACACGGCACATAAAAGAAGATAGTCAGAATTTCTTGCATGAGGATTTATCGTTATTTATGCTATTTATTTTCGGACTATTGTCCTCATCTTTGTTGTTATTATCACAACGTTTCAACCTGTTGTACCTTGCGTGCTTCAGGAAATTCTAAACTAAACACTAATTAATCTAGATTGTTCTCGTTCCGCTGTACATATCTAGGGATATATTGTCTTGTTTCTTATTTAATACTGCTCAGTTATCACCTTGCGTGCTTCAGGAAATATTAAACTGAACACTTTATTTAATCTCGATTATCTTAGACCAGTGTTTCCCAAAGTGGGCGATAGCGCCCCCTTGTGGGCTCTGTTATGTTGAATGGGGGCACTGGGACTTTTTAAAATTTCATTTGGGGGGCGCTGAGCATAGGTAGCGGTTGGCATGTATCCATTTTTTCCAGATTTTCAAAAAGTATAGGTTACAAAAGGAAGTTTCTGAAAGTGCTGTGGAATGATATCAAACTTTTCTTCATTGCTTTTTGAACTTTCTATGTGGCTGAATGTGGTTTCAACGCAGTTACAGAGCTTCTTACTAAACAAAGAAACCGCCTGCTGATTACAAAACAAGGTGATTTACGATTACTTCCAAGAAGCATTGAACCTAGAGTTAGCCAGTAAGCACCAAAGTCAATCATCGCATGGAAAACATTGAGATAAGCTATCAAATGAACCTAGAGTAAGCATCTTAGCCAGTTAGCACCAAATTTAACCATCGCATTGAAAACATTGAGATAAGCTATCAAGTAAAAGATTTTTCTAGGATTTTAATCATTGGCATTTATAATGAGAGATGAAAACATTATTAACATTATTTTTTCACTAATACCTAAGTGTTATCTTGCTATGAAAGATGAATTCAGTATAATATTCGAAATTTAATTTGACGGGGGGGCGTTAACATATAGTTTTTGGACAAAGGGGGCGCTGGTTGAGAAAAAGTTGGGAAACGGTGTCTTAGACTATCTAATCTATGCTATTCGGTCTAGGGATTGGACTAAAAAACTTAATCCACTGCTTTTCACACTTTACTGCATTCATCTTGTCTTTTCTTGCTGCTGCTGCTTCTGAAGACTTGCTGTTTCTTGTTCCCTTGTTTTAATTTATTAACGGCTCCCATATTGGATTTATTTCTACGCTAGGCATAGGTAACTACAACAAAAATTACATCAATAGTTTGAGCGTAAATAATGCATATATTGTAAATAATGACTTGTTCATTTCAGATGATACACCGTGATAAGGTGCGTTGCCCTGCGAGAAGCCACAATAGCTAGGTAAGCTTTGATATTTAAAAGATCTTTTATTGCTACCAAGAATCCCAGTGTGTACCAAGAATATATTACTATACCATTTCCCTACCATCGGCATCCATAACCTTTGATACAATGAGACCAACAATTGATGAAATACCCATAATGCCTGTCTGGCACCAACAACTATGCCACATTCAAAGTCAAATAAAATACCTTTCTTTCCTATCGTAATGCATGAAATGAAATTCAGCAATTCGCTATTACCATGTTTATATGTCTATATCCATTAAATAGGCTGCCATGTTAAAAGTGCTTTTATTTACACGAACTTAATTAAGTGGCTTGTGAGTGTGTAAGCGTTAAATGACGATAAGAGGTAATATGTCTTGATAAAACGAGAAACCAAATAGTGTTGAAATCACAAAAGGAAAAGTTAATATTGGCTGCTTTGAAGTAGTATGACCTAAACGGACTGTGTGTATTGAAATTAGCTTGAGACCAGTAGTGAGTTGTTCCCGGCAATATGACGATGGTAGGTTGAAAGGAGAATCAGCCTTGCACCTACTCCACCCACAAACCGAGGAAGACGCTTCGTTGAATCAGTTGATCGCTCGCCTCGGGTTATTCTTCAACCGTCATTTCATTCCGTTAGTAAATCGAAAATGCCACTTCCACATAAGCATAGTTATACGACAACAAAATCCTTTGATTTGAGGGAAAAAGTAATCAACCGACAAAGCAGAAATATCATTCTTTTCTACTCAATCTCCATTCTCCTTGTTCGTTTTCTTTTTCTTCTAAGTCTTCACACGCCTTGTTCGTTTACTTTTCAACCTCCTCGTTGGCTTTCTTTTATTCTGAAACTTTAACCTCTTTTTTCTTTTCTAATCCTACACACTTCTTGTTCGTTTTCTTTTTCTTTTAAGCATTCAATCTCCTTGTTCATTTACTTTTCTTCTAAGCCATTACACAGCTTGTTCGTTTTCTTTTTCTTCTAAATCTTCACACACCTTGTCCGTTTTCTTTTCTTCTAGTCATTCAAACCTCCTCGTTCTTTTTCTTTTCTTCGAAGCCATATTATTCCTTGTTCGATTTCTTTTCTTTTAAACATTCATTCACCTTGTTTTTTTTCTTTTCCTTCTAAACCATCACTCTCCTTGTTCCTTTTTTTTCTTCTAAGCCATCACACAGCTTGTTCGTTTTCTTTTTCTTCTAAACCTTCACAGTCCTTGTTGTCTTTTTCTTCTAAATCATCACTCTCCTGGTTTTCTTTTTCTTCTAAGCATTTAATCTCCTTGTTCATTTAATTTTCTTCTCAACATTCACACACCTTGTTCGTTTTCTTCTAGTCATTCTACCTCCCTGTTCTTTTTCTTTTCTTCTAAGCCATATCATTCCTTGTTCGTTTTCTTTTCTTTTAAGCATTCACCCTCTTTGTTTTTTTCTTTTCCTTCTAAACCATTACTCTCCTTGTTCGTTTTCTTTTTTCTACACCTTCACACACTTTGTCCGTTTTCTTTTCTTCTAGTCATTCAACCTCCTCGTTCTTTTTCTTTTTTTAAAAGCCATATCATTCCTTGTTCATTTTCTCTTCTTCTAAGCCTTAACATCCCTTGTTCGTTTTCTTTTCTTCTGAACCTTTACCCTCCGCTTTCGTTTCCTTTTATTCCGTCTTCTAGCAATTATAATATCATTTATATTTGTAAATGTGTATCACATTAACCTTTAGGAACTGCTGGATAGATTCTTATGAAATTTATGCAAGATATAGCTTCAGGGAAGCAAAAGATCTTAAAAATTATCGAACCGTTTACTTAAAGCAATTTAAGACTTTTGAAACGGGCGTGAAAATTTCTTTATTTTGATGGCAACACAAACTCTTAAGCCTGAAACGAATTTCTGAAATGAGTTCATTTTTCGCTCTCATTTCCTGGAACTGAAAAGAGAAATATACAAAATGAAAAGACTGCTTCAGAATTTTTCCGAAATACTCAAAGAGAGGTGGAATTTCATTTATTGACGATCACGAGTCCCCTAACCTATTAGGGTAGTTGGGGCACCATATATGCGGGGTAATGAGAGCGTCTAGTGCAAAATAACCTGACGGAACCCATCCTTTTTCAGGTTGGTTTTGAATTCAGAATCGTTCTTATCGTAGGCAAGGCGCAATCGAAGGTAAAGTAACTCAATCCATAGCTTGGGGGGTGAGGTAGAAGGACTTATTTATTTTCCGTTTCTTATTCGTGTGCAACAAACGAAACAGCGTCTGCATATATTTTGATCTCAGTAAGCCGAATTCCATTTCTGCATCGACAACCGGTACGCAATCTGCACGTTCAATTGGCACATCCTTCCATAACGTCTTAATATTTGTGTCTTATCTTCTTGTCTCCGAAACAATTTTAGTAAAAACGCAATTGGTCGTCAAAATTTAGATTAAAACATATGAATAGTTATTCTCTTATATTTGTTAAACCCTTTCGGTAAAATACCTTACTTCATATATATATATATATATATATATAATTCGCAGACAGTACTGTTTCGCTGTATCCCAGCTCCTCAGTGCATCTAGACAACAGAATACCTCAACCCAGGATCGAAACCCAGCCAATTTGAAGTTATTCAGAGCTTCTACCACTGAGCTAACTTCATTCGGCTGAGTGAATCAGCTAAATCTGGCGTATTTTTTTTACGAATACAAACAAATGCCAATCAGTGCTCTATTCATTTTACTGAAGAGTTTTGCATTAACGCAGGTGGCTGTTGTTCAGTATATATATATATGTGATTATAGCATACTTTCTCACTCTCTCTCTCTCTCTCTCTCTTATATATATATATATATATATATATATATATATATATATATATATATATATATATACATTATATCCTCTCTCTGGCTCTCTCTCTATGTATATGTATATGATTATAGGGCCCCTCTCTCTCTCTCTCAATATATATATATATATATATATATATATATATATATATATATATATATATATATATATATAATTAAATACAAATAATGTAAGGTGATTGATGTTATATTCAGTAACCAACTCCAGATTTTCGTAGATTAATTTTTTGTTATCGTTAGGCGCACTCGTCAGTAATTTTATGCAATTGACTTTGGGTTTTATTTTCTTCCTTACCTTTATACTAAGTTTGATGTGATTAATATATCTGTTTGCACTGAGATTGAATATAGGTGCTACTTAACATGTGCAGCCTTTTCAATTCTATTGGGAACAATGTCGGAAGTATGGCTTCGAATGCCCAGAGAAATGGTACGGGCTTTCATCACCGCTACTAGTGGAGAATGAGAAAGTTAGCGCTGAGGTGGGATACGACTAATTTGATCGACTAGGGCTTGAAGAGCTTCATATCACCGTTGTGCACAAGAGCTGAATGAAACCACATCGTGAAGCCGGATTAGGTACAAATTCTTCTTTTTCTACTCTTCCTCTTTCTCCCCCTTCTCCTCCTCCTTCTTCTGTGTCTTCTTCTGCGTCCTCCTCTTCTTTTCCTCTTACTTCTTCTTTTTTTCTTCTACTCTTCCTCTTTCTCCTCCTCCTCCTTCTTATTCTTCTGCGTCTTCTTCTTCTTCTTTTCCTCGTACTTCTTCTTTTTCTTCTTCTTCTCTTTCTTCTTCTTCTCTTTCTTCATCTTCTACTCTTCCTCTTTCTTCTTCTTCTTCTTCTTCTCTTTCTTCTTCTGCTCTTCTTTTTCTTCTTCTACTCTTCTTCTTCTTCTACTCTTCTTCTTCTACTCTTCCTCTTTCTTCCTCTCTTTCTTCATCTTCTACTCTTCCTCTTTCTTCTTCTTTTTCTTCTTTTCCTCTTTCTTCTTCTTCTTCTACTCTTCTTCTTCATAATCTTCTACTCTTCCTTTTTCTTCTTCTTCTTCTTCTTCTTCCATTATAATAGCGATAGAGCTGTGCGAGGCACGCGAGAGAGAGTATAGAGAATAATTCTTCTCCAGCGAGGACTCAGAGACGCTTTTGAACGCTATTAAGACTGAAAGACAGACAGCTCTTGCCCAAATATGGTACAGTACTTTAATTTAAGCCTGATCTGTCTCTTATAACTATAGAGGATAGCATGAAGAGTCAGGTAATCACTGGAGCAGTACAGAGAGACGATCACTTTACCTGCTTCTTTAGCGATGGATCGTATTGAGGCCCAAAATCCTATCAAGCCACAGTGTCTCCTCGAGGGGACATCCGTTTATCGTGACTTGCGTTATTTTGGGGTGTGCTAGGCAGTGATGGAATGTAACCAATTTGGTTTTAGAGGCAATGAATGTAACCAGCCAGTTTTTTTCCCACTGTTACAAATTATGGAATTCTCATCTCATTCTGTTTATTTCCTTGGAAAGGAAGTTTACACACATAACCATCCTCATGCGTTTTAAGGGTCGAAAGATGGTAGATTTTGAATACGTTTTTCAGAATTTGCACTTTAATATGTTTGTTGAAATTACAATCTTTTGTAGTAAAATGTTCTGCAATCTCCGTCGACGTCACATTATTGTGTCCGCCATCATACCTGTCTCCTTTAAAACATCTAATTAATTTTTACGTTGTGCAATCCGTATGAATCAAATCATGTTTGGTACATTGGGAGGCGTATTTTAAATGGGAATTACTACAATTGTCACCCTCTGTAGAAATCGTGATGTTTCTCTTTGAACTTGTGACAAATTTCTTTTGTCAGTTCCTGACAATCCTTCAAAAATGACGAAGTCAGTTTTGAAGGAATGTCAAATTCTTTTGCTGAGCTGTTTTTATCAGCAGTGTCTAAGAGAAGACATTTACATTTTTATGAAGCCTTTTATTATTATACCTGGTCTGTTTGACTTGGAGAGTGTGTTCGTTATGAATGGTGAAATCCCAGGGAACTGTAACATTTTCATCTATCACAGACGGTCTTTTGTGTTCCTACCATTTTTCTGCCTGGGGAAGGTTATAATGTTGGCACGTCTTCCAATGTAAATATTTCTCTACTCTATCATGTCTATTTGAGCATATAATAAAGCACTCAGAGGGTCAATAGTTTTCACATCGTCTGTACAAAAGCAATATTTAGGCCCTTATTTTTGCCTTTTGCTTGTTAAATTCTTTTTAAATTATTATTTTTTTTTCGATTTCTGCTCTGGTCACATTACCTACCAAGTCTGCGAGAAGACCTAAGGCAGGTAGAGGTGTGTTGTTATGGCTACATTTTATGATTTGTTTTTCCAACTTCCATAACATCACTAGCGTTACATGGGCAAAGTTCTTCATAGAGTGTAGGCTGTATTTATCAAGACAATTTTTGTATTTCTCTTAAGCTGAGATTTCCAGGTAATTTTTCAGTGTGTTGTTGAGTTCCTTTTTTATCATTCCGAGCGCACCTATCATGACTGGTATTATTCTTATATTCAATTTCCATATTTTTTCTCTTTCGATTTGCAGGTCTTTATACTTCGATAGTTTTTCAAATTCCTTGGTTGCTATGTTACAGTTCGCTGGGCATCCATATCAATTAGTAGGCATTTTTTTTCTTTTCGGTTTTTGACACTTATGTCTGGTGTATTTTTTTCAATCTTCCTGCCTGGAAAGACATAGAATTGTGAAGTCTTCTATTTCTGTAGCTGGTGCTGGGTGATGTTCATACCAGGGTTTGTTAAAATCTACTCCAAAGTGTTTGCACATTAACCAGTGTAAAGATTGCCCCACTATGTCGTGATGATTTTTATATTCATTTGGCACAAGTACTGAACATCCCGAGATTAGATAGTCTCTGGTTTTCTGACATTTTCACATATCCTGCATTTTCGATCCACACTATTATGTATTATATTCTTCTGAAAGTTTTCTTGTGCTGTAAGAATAAAGCCTTCCGTTTAAGCCTTTAATCCAGTGCTCGTAATCATGGATAAGTGTTAACTTTATCAACCTCAACTTTAATAGCCTCGTTCTGGATATCGGTTTTATTAGCCTCGTTCTGGATATCGGCTTCATTAGCACGTTCTGGATATTGGCCATGCAAAGGTTTGTCTTGCCAGTATTGTTTTATCTGTTCAAGAGCTTTATCCTTGGCTTTCTTTTTCATAATTTCTGCTGCAACAGTTGGTTCTTAGGTTCCGTTTCGATTTTCTACAGAATCTATAAAATGTAAATCTCGTTTATATTTACAACCTTCTTTCATTATTATTATTATTATTATTATTATTATTTTCTTTGATTTCTGGCGTTTACACATTTCTTTCTGGGTCCCGCCCAGGGACCTAATGTTAGAAATGACATCATGACACTTTCCACTGACAAAAAAAAAAAAAAAAAAATTACATAGATAAAGCCCTTCGTAAAGTGTGGGCTGTACTTGTATCTCTTTGAGGCATTGACTTCCAGGAATCCCTTCAATTAGTCTACTGGAATCTTTTCCAACCAGTCCTAGGGCCCCAACTACAACAGAGATTGTTGATGTTCCTATGTGCCACATTTTTGAGATTTCTATTTCAAGGTCCTTGTATTTTGACAGATTTTTGAATATCTTCAAAGATACTTTGCAGTCAGCAGGGACTGCCATATCAATAAGGAGGCACTTTTTTTTTGTTTGTGGTCTTTAATAACATTGTCATTATTATTATTATTATTATTATTATTATTTTGATGCTAAACACTAACGTAGTCAATGAAAACTATTTTTTTTCCTCACAGCTCAAGAAGTTTTCGAAGAATTCTCGTCGAGTAAATGATGGCGGTTTTCTGAAGGTCTACAATCTTAGTCTCAATTCTAATTTTCCCGAAGCGCTCTTTCATTTTTCTAGATTGTGTTACAAGCGCACGCAACAGTAACGGCTTCTAGTCCAGATCCTGTTATTATCTATTTTTTCAGTTTCTTTGGAGTCCGCTCTTGTATCGTATAGAACAACAAAATCAATAATTTGACACTTGCTTTTCTCCATATCTATAACGATAAGGTCAGATCTTCCTACACAAATGACATGATCTGCCTGGATTGAGAAATCCCAGAATATCTTATCATTGTCATTTTCTACCACTGTCTCTAGTTGAAATTCTTGCATATTCCCCATTTATTATTATTATTATTATTATTATTATTATTATTATTATTATTATTATTATTTCCTTTGATTTCTGGTGTATACTCATTTCTTTCCGGGTCCCGACCAGAGACCTAAGGTCAGAAATGGCATCATGACATTTTTCACTGAGCAGTTTTGATATTTTACATAGATAAAGCCCTTCGTAATTTGTGGGCTGTACTTGTGAGTGCAATGTTTTGTAGTTCTTTAAGACAGGAACTACCAGGGATTCCTTCAATGAACATTTACCAATTAATCCAAGAGCTCTAATTACAACTGGAATTGTTAATATCCTCATGTGCTACATTTTTCAGATTTCGATTTCAAGGTCCTTCTATTTTAATAGATTTTTTTAAAGATCTTCAAAGATACATTGTAGTCTGCAAGGACACCCACGTCAATAACAAGGCATATTCTGTTTTTGTGGTCTCTGATCACGATGATTAAGCGATTAGCTTTGATTGTTCTGTAAAGTCCAATAAAATTGTTACAGGTCCTATGGCGGTAACCGAGTTTACGTGGAGTTCATACCAATTTCTTGAAATTCCCTTGCAGTAGAATTTTCAGATTTTCTAGTGCAGATATTGACCCACTCTCTCGTGTCGTGTTTTATATTCAGTGGGTGCCAATACCGCGCAATTGTTTCTAGATATTTATCACAAAATCTGCCTTTTGGACTAACACAATTTTTCAGTATGTGTGCTAGTTAATTTTTAGTTAGAAATCATTGGTCTTTTACGGCAAGAATAAAACCTTCAGTTTCAGCTTTTAACCCTGCACTACGTAACCACTGATAGGTACGGGGCTTGTTTGGTACGGACAGAGTATTGACCGTTAAACAGTTTATCTTGACATCGTTTCTGCATCTGGTCGGTTGCATTTGTCTTTGCTTTCTTTTTTTAAGTATTTTGCAGCTTCAGTCGGTTATTATTATCATTATTATTATTATTATTATTATTATTATTATTATTATTATTATTATTATTATTATTATTATTAGTGCCCGTGGAAAATTCACGGTTTTGCAATTTTATTTTTTTTGATGAATCATAATTCTCGATTTAATGTTTATCGTTAAATATCTATCTATCTATCTATCTATCTATCTATCTATCTATCTATCTAACCAAAGCTATCGATCTGCTCATTATCAATTCGGATATTTTTGTCCATCTACACTTCTCATTCTATTCACATCTATCTATCTATCTATCTATCTATCTATCTATCTATCTATCTATCTATCTATCTATCTCACTCTCTTTATATCTATATATCTATCTATCTATCTATCTGTATCACTCTCTTTATATCTATCTATCTATCTATCTATCTATCTATCTATCTATGTCACTATCTATCTATCTATCTATCTATCTATCTATCTATCTATCTATGTCACTCACTTTATATCTATCTATCTATCTATCTATCTATATCTATCTATAATTGATTATAAGTATTTATCTATCGACCCTTGAAGTCTGAAGTTGTCTCAAATGAAAAAAGTAAAAGTACCTCGTTACAATCTGTGTCATAGGATCAACAACAATAAGCATCTCCGAATGTGCCAGTTCTATAACATATATGCATATGTAAATGCATTTTTGCATACATGCGCTTACACGCGTGTGCATAGGCGTGTGTGTCTGTGTGCTTGTCTATTGCGAATAAATATATTTTACTCTTCATCGTTAAAACAGACCCCATCTGTATGTGTTGCATATGTCTGAAAATATTGGTAATCGGAAAATATGAAATATATTAAAGCAAAAAATGAGGTGGCCTGCAGGGAACACATATATAATGCAGAATGACATATCAGGTTTCT